CACCCAGATGTTTCTGGGAAGAAAGGCCTGGTAATTGTCTTCCAAAATGTAACCATAACCCAGTTCTGACTCATAGCTACCTTACAGGACAGAGTAGAACTACCCGGTAGGGCTTCCGAGGCTGTAATCTTTACAGAAGCAGAATGCCACATCTTTCTCCTGTGGAGCAGCTGATGGGTTTGAACCACCAACCTTTTGGTTAGCAGCCGAGTGCTTAACCACTGCGTCACCAGGGCTCCTTACGAAAGGTCACAGCTTTGAAAAACCCACTCTGCACACATGGAGTCACCATAAGTCAGAACTGACTCGACGGCAAGGGCTTTTCTTTTTTTTTGTCCCCTTCATCTGAGAATGGTGTGTTCTGGGATCAAGTTTCTGTCCAATTTTTCTTTTCTTGTTTTGGTATTTATATAAAGCAAAAGTGATTATATTTTGATACTGTGTCTTTTGGTCTAAAAAGGTTGATGACTATTTTATGTTTATTGTAAGCTTTCACTTTTTCCTGTGTGAAAACAGCCCTTGGATCATATGGTTCCTGGCATGAATATCTCTCCTTTTCTTTTTAACCTGCCCCTTATGAGCACCTCGGCTCTGTTTTGCTGTTTGCCTTTCACGGGGTTCAGGAGGGTCTCTTTCAAATCGACACCGAGAGGTTTATTTTTCTGGCTTCCCAGCTGTCCTTGTGTTTGGGTAAGAGGCCTGATCTGACATCAGCTGAACTTGTCACACATACGGTCACCTTCTCCACCTCTGCTCTCTGTTGAACGTGTTCTTTCTTTCCGGAACATCTCTTTTCATGTCGTCTTTTACCATGTGGATTATATCTTCTTTTTCTGAATGTGAGTGTGTGTGACTTAGAAGGAATACATTCTATTTTTTTTATATTAGTTTTAATTTTTTTATTGTGTTAAAAATATATATAACACAACATTCGCCAATTCAACTTTTTTTCTTTTCTTTTTTGTGCTTTAAGCGAAAGTTTACACAGCAAATTAGTTTCTCATTCAACAATTAATACACAAGTTGTTTTGTGACAATGGTTGCCAGTCCCGCGATGTGTCAACACTCTCCCCTTCTCCACCCCGTGTTCCCCGTTTCCACTCGTCCAGTTTTCCTGTCCCTTCCTGCCTTCTCGTCTTTGCTTTTGGGCAGGTGTGCCCATTTAGTCTCCTATACATGACCGAATTAGGAAGCATGTTCCTCACGGGTGTTATTGTTTGTTTTATAGATCAGTCTAATCTTTGGCTGAAGGGCAAAGTTTGGGAGTGACTTCAGTTCTGAGTTAAAAGGTTATCCGGGGATCATGTTGGCGGGGTTTCTCCAGTCTCTGTCAGACCAGTAAGTCTGGTCTTTTTTTTTGTGAATTCGAATTTTGTTCTACATTTTTCTCCCACTCTGTCTGGGGTCTATTTTTATTCTAATGTTACTTTCATGCTTTAAAACCTGGATGTTTAAGAGCTTCATTCCCCGTGAAGTGTGATCCTTGTTAGCTTTGTGCATTCGGTGAGGGGGAGGACTGGCTCCTAAGAGGGGGCTTGAGGGAAGATGACCTGGCTCCGCCACACAGGGGACTTGGTAACACGCCACCCCACTTCCTGTAGTTGTGCCAGGTTTTGCCAGAGCTACCTGGGGCAGGGCTGAGGCCAGGTCCCGGCTCGGTCTCCTCGGTGAGGGCGCCCTCCCCTAGACAGGGAACCCTGCAGCAGTCCAGGGGCTGGCAGGGAGGGAGCCCACACCCTGGGCGGCAGGCAGGGTGCTCACGCCCTGGGCAGCAGGCAGTGTGCCTACACTCTGGGCAGCAGGAAGGACCCATCAGGGTGACCTTCGGGGTGGCAGGGGAGCACTCACTCCTTCTGGGCCTCAGCACGGCAGGTACCTGGCCAGGTACCTCCTCTCCCTGCCTCCTCGCCCTGCCCACTCCTGTGGGCCCAGCTCTGGGGCTTTTGGAGACCGGCGTGGCCAGGTGCCTCCCAGTCTGCCCACTCTTGTACCAGGTGTTTGGTGCCAGGTGCTAAGTGAGCTCCATATCTGCGAGGTGTCAACCCCCAAGTGCTGTGGACAGGCCCTACGATCACCTCCAGCCTGCAAAGAGAAACTGAGGCAGAGTGGTGTGGTGATTGCCCAGGTGGACCCAGGCTCGGGCACTGTCCTGCACTGTCTCGGCGGCCAGGCTCCAGAACACCCAGACGTCCTTGGCCAGCATCCAGGGGGCCTTGGTCTCGAGACCTCCAAGGCTCCGAGTCTCTGAGAACCAGTCCTGGCCGCTGGATGTGTCCACTTCAGCCCCACTGCCACTGAGGCCTGGACAGAAGGACCTGGCTGACTACACCCTCTGCTTTGCCTGCCCAGCTTCACCACCCCGAGGGTGTGCTGCTCACTGAGGCATGGAGCTTAGCGCGGGCCCCTCGCTGTGTGGGAGCTCGGCCTCTGCCTGCTGTCCTCCACCTCCAGAGGCCAGAGCCGCCATTTATCTGGACTTCCTGGCCCCTGCCAGGCTATGGGGCAGGAGGGGAAGCCTCACTTCGCTCAGCATCCCCCACCCTGTGCCCGCCGGGGCCTGTCAGTGTGGGCCCCACAACAAGCGGGGAACAGCTCTGGAGGCGAAGCTGTAGGGCCCCCAGCCTGCTTCCTGTGACTGAGATTAGGGCCTTGGTCTGTGGGTTGTTCTTGTCTAAACCGAGGCGCTCCTCTCCCCTCTGTGGGCAGGGGTGTCACAGTGCGATCACAAGCCTGGGTCTGCATCCTGCTGCAGCTCTGCCTAGGTTTCTCCTGCGGGGACTTGCTGTTGCTGTTAGCTGTCGTTGGGTTGATCCTGACTCACAGCAACCCCGTGTGCGTCAGAGCAGAACTGGGCTCCATGGGGTTTTCTTTTTATTTTTTTTATTGTACTTTAGATGAAGGTTTACAGAACAAGTAGTTCTCATTAAACAGTTAGTACACATGTTGTTTTATGACATTGGTTAACAAGCCCGTGACATGTTAACACTGTCCCTTCTCAGCCTTGGGTTTCCCCTTACCAGCTTTCCTGTCCCCTCCTGCCTTCTCGTCCTTCTCTACATGGAGTTTTCTTGGCTGTAATCTTTATCGAAGCAGACGACCAGGCCTGTGACCTGCTGATCATTGTGAGCATTTGCAGGAGGGAGGGGGCAGTGCGGTTGTACGGCCCAGGAAGGAGCAGGAGCTGTGTTTGCGGGTCTCTACCCAGAACTGGGGGGCCGCTGGCCCTGTTAGCCCACATGCATGTTGGGGTGTCATGGGGAGGGGCGCCCCCCGCTCTCTGCTTGGATCTGTTGGTGCCTCAGAAGGGGGTGCTGTCCTGAGGTCGACAGACCTTGCGCCCGGAACAGGTGCCGGGTGTCGGTCCCAGGACGGCGCTGGTATTTGGGCAGGAGGCAGCCCCTCTAGGTCAGCTATGGGGTTGGCGGTCCCGACTCACGACCCAAGGACAGTCCAGATGGGGAACTTGGAAAGCACAGAGGGAGAGTTGGGGCTGGCACAAGACTGAGCCCTGCACCCTAAAGGCAGGCTTTCACCAACGAGTGGGCTGGGTATGAAGCCAGAACGCAGCTCCCGCCCTCGCCCACATGACTTAGGAAGTAAGAGAGAGCACACGGAGTCCTCAGAATGGCTTCTGCTTTCAGTCTCCAAATGGGAAGGACTGAGGGTTTCGTACTGATCTCTGGGTCCTGACTGCAGTCTTAGCAGGGACTGGGAAGCAGTCACATCCAACCGAAAACTGGCTGTAGGTTGGAGCCTCTGGCTGGTCCTCCCCAAGCTCAGCATCCTACCACAAATGCATTAGCCCCCGGGACAGAAAGGGTGAGAGGTGGCCCAGTGCGGTGACCTGGAGCCCCTCGGACCCCAGAGAGATCTGTCCCACAGCAAAGGGTCTGGGCCTCTTCTAGCCTGGCCCCCCAGCTTTAGGCCCTCGAGGCAACCCTGTTGAACACACACCACTAGGTGGCCCATGGTAGGGGACTGGGCGCCCCAGGAGCCCAGCCTCAGAGGAGGTGGCACCGCTGGGCAATGTGTGCTGGCCCTTTTCCCGGAAGACGAATGCCACTTCCTACAACCGTCAGCCACCTCTCCCCTTCTGGGAGCCAGATAGAAAGCCAGCAACCAGCTGCGTTCCACGGTGGCACCTGTGAACACCTGTGCTTTGAGTCCTGGGGAGTCGGAGCTGGCCCCCCACCCCCGACCCCTCCCAGACGGCCTGCGCCCGTCCCGGCAGCTGACCTGGGTGGGGCACGCTGCCTTGGGCCAGGTCTAGGTCAGGGGCAGCCCTCACCTCAGCTGCAAGGCCACAGGTACTAAGAAGTGGGAGATGCAGAGCCCAAGGGGGGGTTCTCCCCGGCCAGCTCCTGCCCCCCAGTGGGGTGGGGTGTTAGCAAGACGCCCTTCTAGACTCAGACCCTGCATTATTCTGCCCCTGGGGACGTCTGGGCGGTGGGTGCCAGTTCAAGCAGCCTCTGCCCCTGAAGCCCTGTTAGCGCATCCACAGAGCATGAGGTTGCTCAGGACAGCGTGGGTGTGGGTGTGAGGAACAGAAGAGCAGGGCCTACTAGCTGGGGGCCAGCACAGGTCTGTGGAGCTCTCAGTGGGGCATCTGGGGTACTCACCCAGCAATGTCAGTCACAGCGTCAGTGCTCAGGGAGTCTTGTTCCCTTCCGAGTCCCGGCCCTGCCACCTGCTGGGACTCATTGGGGACGCAGCCCACGCTAGGCACATCAAGGCCACAGCTGGTCCAGGTCGCTGCTCAGCAGAGCACAGGTGCAGGATTGTGGGGGCTGCTGGCAGGAGGCCCACCCCCTTGAGTGGCATCGGGGCTGGCCCGTGTCTGCCCCAGCCCAGTCTGAACCCCCCGGATCAGGGACAAGCTCTCCCGCAGGTATCCCAGACCACCCCAGGGCCTTGTAGATGCCATGGGGCATGACCGAGTGGCTGGCTGGTGCTGTGGGCCTGGGGTCTGAGCCCTGTCACCCAATCGCTTCCCTCCACAGGTCATGCCAGGCCAGCATGCCCTGCTGCTCACTCTGGTGGGACTGCTCTTCCTCGGGTCTGGTGAGTTCTTGGGTGGGCAGAATGGGACCCGCTGAACGAAGTCCCCAGGGAAGCTCAGGAAGACCGTGCTGCTGGGAGCACCAGCCAGACTCAGGCCTCAGTCCCCCCACACATTGGGAGTGGGGGCCCCGGTATCCCCCATGCCCCCACTCCCGCCTCCATTCAGGGCCCCTCTCCTGAGACCCCTCTCTCTGGGCTCACCCTTTTCCTTCCCCGCTGCCCACTCCTTCTCTGTCCCCTGCTGACCCTGCTCCCCACCCTCCTCTGCTGGGGCTTGGCCCTGGACGCAGCCTGGCCACTCACTCCCTGTACCCACCCTCAGCCCCTGCCTCAGCCAGCCACCGCTGTGGCTTTAAATCCCACCTTGGCGCCTCGAATTTCCACTTCCGTCCTCCGCTGTCCTGAGCCCGATCAGATCCCCCAGTGCTTATGGGCATCTCTGCTAGAAAATCTACCAGGCATCTTAGCTCACCAAGCCCAGAACAGAGTTTTGGTGCTTGACCCCAAAACACCTGCTCCCAGGAAGCAGTGTCCCCTCCCCCAGCACAGCACAACCCTCGTCTCCCTCGTCCATCTCCAGTCCTCACATCCCGGATCCATCCCACGGGCGAGCCCTCCAAACCCTGCCAGCCCCGTGGTCGCCATCTGCCCAGACTCCCCTGACTTCTACTTCTGCCTCCTGTCCCAAACCACCACCGTCTGTCCCTGGACACCTGCTGTGACCCCCTTATGTCCCCCCGGCATTCAGAGGGACCCTCTGTGAAGCACAGATATCATCAAGAACGTCCCTGCTTAAAACCCCAGCCTTCCCAATCCCACCCCAGAGCTCCACCCAGCCCCGTGGTCACCCCACTATTCCCACCTGACCTGTCCACTTGCTGCTGGTGCTGGTCACCCTCCCCAGCTTCTCACACTTGCCCCACTGCGCCCACCTCCATCCTTCCCGTAGACGGGTTGATGGATGGTTTATCCCTAGAGCTGTCCAAGTCCTCTGTCCCACGCGTTGGGAGTGTGAGGCCAAGCTCCCTCCTTCCTTCTCCCATTCCCTGTGGAGTTGTGCCGGGGCTGCGACCACCACTCACAGACCTGTCTGCCTCCTAGTCCTGCCCCAGGAGTGCACCCAGTACAAGGTCAGCACCTGCCGGGAGTGCGTGGAGTTGGGGCCTGGCTGCGCCTGGTGCCAGAAGATGGTAAGAGCCACACGTTTGGCGGGGAGATACTCGGAGGCTGGTAAATATCCTTTCCCATCAAACAGGGTTAGCTCGTGCCGCGTCTGCAGTGTGGCATCCGGGTAATTGTCTCTACCCTCCTCCTGTCCCCTCTGCCCCCCAGAACTTCACAGGGCTGGGGGAGCCAGACTCTGTCCGCTGTAACACCAGGCAGCAGCTGCTGATGAAAGGCTGTCCAGCCAATGACATCGTGGACCCCAGGAGCCTCGCAGAGGCCCAGGACAACCTGGCAGGAGCGGGCAAGCAGCTGTCCCCACAGAGTGTGAAGCTTTACCTGAGACCAGGTAGGCTGGCCTCGGCAGGCTGGGCCCAGCACCTGCCCATGCTGTTCCAGGGTCCGGCCGGGTTCATCAGCATAGGTTGGGTGGGACAGCAAGGGGAGCGAGGTGAGGCCACAGCAAGCCACTGTTGCACAACAGAGACCAAAGTCTGAGTCCCACCATGGCCCCCCTCCCTCTCCAGCCACCAGTGGACTTTCCCTCCGCCGTCTACATGGACATGCTGGTACCTGGGACATAAACCAAAAAACCGAACCCGTTGCCGTTCAGTTGATTCCGACTCATGGCGGCCCCAAAAGTTACAGAGCAGAGTGTAGCTCCCTAAGGTTGTCTTGGCTATAATCTTTACAGAAGCAGACCACCAGGCCTTTCTTCCACGGTGCTCCTGGGTGGGCTCGAATCACCAACCTTTAGATCAGTAGCGCAGAGCAAACAGTTTGCGTCACCCAAGGATCTTATATTTGGGACATATTTATGCTGAAGGTCCGTGGGTGGTGCAAACTGTTTGCGCTCAGCTACTAACCTAAAGGATAGCAGTTTAAACCCATATAGTAGTGCTTCAGAAGAAAGGTCTGGCAATCTACTTCCATAAAGATTACCACCAAAAAAACATCCCTATGGAGCCGTTCTATGCCGTAACACATGGGGTCACCATGAGTCAGAACTGGCTCGATGGCAATGAGTGTGGTTATTTTGGTTTCATGTTAAGAAAGCCAGGGCTGTTTTCCTGAAACTCAAACCTCACGGGGCATCTGTATCTTACCTGCAACCACCCACATGCCAGGCTGTGATAAGGGGAGACAGACCTAGGATCTCAGGACTGCTGGAGAGCGGGCGTTGGGCCAGCCTACCCTGTGGCTGCGTACCCGCGCCGAGCCCCCGATGCACGCGCACTGGGCCTTGCAGCACCGCTCACTCCTGCCTTCTCCCCGGCAGGCCAGGCCGCCATGTTCAATGTGACCTTCCAGCGGGCCGAGGGCTACCCCATCGACCTGTACTACCTGATGGACCTCTCCTACTCCATGCTTGACGACCTCAAGAACGTCAAGAAGCTGGGGGGCGACCTGCTCAAGGCCCTCAATGAGATCACCAAGTCGGGCCGCATCGGTGAGGCAAGGCCACCCAGGGCCACCTGCTGGGTCCTTCCGCAGCCCCGGGGCTGCCCGTCCTACATGCACCTGTCCTGGGGGCGGGCACTCGGGGCCTCCAGGCGTAGTATGTGCGGTCGGGTCCGCAGGGCCACACCAGGTTGCCGACACCCCGAGCCTTGCTGGCGTCATCCAGCCAGTCCACTCTCTCTTCCCTCTCCCCTCCTCCTTTTGTTTATCTTTGCTTTCGCTGAAAGACAAAAGCCTTGCCACGCTAATTACTGAAAAAGTAAAGGACACAAAAGCATACAGATTACACGGTACTCACAGAGTTAAAGAAAGGTAACACCAAACCCTGCTCGGCCCCTTCTCTGCCCGGCTGAGGGGGCTGAGTGCCCCCGAGTACTGGCCCGTTACAGAGTTCAGGGCTGAGAGCACAGGCGTCAGGGACAGGGAGGTGCACAAACACACACACACTCGTATGTACACACACACGCTTGCACACACTCATGCTTGCACGGGTACATGATCACACACACACGCACTTGCTCGCACACTCACAGGCACACACACTGTCACACACACCATCTTGCCTTCTCCCTTGCCCCAGTAAGAGGCCTGCCCACCTCTTCCGGCCTTCACCTCTGCAAGGCTGCCCACTCAGCCCGCCTCACACACGCATCCCCGCCACATACTGCACACCCCTGCCTCATACCGCGCGTCCCCTTGTACCACGTGTCCCCGCCTCATACCATGTGCTGATCCTCATACCAAGTCCCCTGCCTCATACTGCATGTCCCTACATCATGCCCTATGTCCCCCTCAGATCACATGTCCCTACATCATACCCCGTATCCTCCCTCACACTGTGTGTCCCCTTCACACCACATGTCCCCCTCACACTGTATGTCTCCTCATGATCTGTCCCCCTCACACTGCATGTCCCCTTATGATCTGTCCCCCTCACACTGTGTGTCCCCTTCACACCACGTGTTCCCCTCACACTGCGTGTCCCCTTATGATCTGTCCCGCTCACACTGCGTGTTCCCTCATGATCTGTCCCCCTCACACCGCATGTCCCCTTCACACCACGTGTCCCCCTCACACTGCATGTCCC